TAAATACCTGTAACACCTGTAGTCCCGTTGATCGTCGAGTGACTCGAGCGGGCGCCAGTAAATCTTCAATTTTTTTTTTTTCAATTTTTCCAAGAGTAGACCAGTGGGTCCTGCTCGCTCTAGGGACTCGTCAAGCATCATATCCTTCTTCAAGGCTCTTTGTGAAAAACTCTGACCATCGTGTCGGTGGTCTTGCTGCAGTACGTTTGACATCCCGAGGAATCCAGTCACTAAGGGCTCCTATCCATCGGTTGTCATTCATACGCATTACGTTTCCGGCCCACCTTATCTTCGACTGTTTGGCGTCCAGAACGGCATCTTTGTTTTTTGATCGTTGACGCAGATCGGAGCTCGGATCCCATCCCTTACTAGTGTGAAACGGGATACTCGTAGCATCGTCCTTTCGACTGCGCGTTCGATAACGCTGAGTGACCTTTTAACCTGCCTACGCAGCGACAAGGATTCTGACGCATACGTTAGGGCACGAAGTACCGTTTGAGTCGAAAAAGTGGGTACAGATTCGGGTGTTCTTTGTTTTCTTCACTACATCCTCGATGCTCTTGAAAGATCCCCAAGCCGCTCGTTTCCTTCTGCTCATCTGGAGCTAGGTCGTTCATCATATTGATTTCCCGACCTAGATAGATATAACTGGAGCATTCGGAGACATTCGATCCGTTGAGCGTGAATGGGGCATGCGAAACCAATCCGTTCTTCATGAACATCGCTTTTGCGGGATTTAGTCGAAGACCAATCTTTTCACAGGCCTTATCAAAGTTGTCAAGTATAAGTTCCGCTTGCTTAATGTTTGGTGTTATAAGGACGATGTTATCAGCAAAGCGAGAATGGTGTAACTGCCGACCATCGATTTCCACTCCCATATTATCCCATTCCAATGTTCGCATGACGTTCTGGAAGGTGGCGGTGAATAATTTTGGCGAGACGGTATCGCCTTGCCTAAACACTCTTTTGACGTCAATGTTAATATCGTTGTAGAATGGTCAAGCCATGGTTGTGAATTTTTTGTACAGCTCACGAAGAATCTTTATGTACTGAGTAGAGACCCCTTGACTATCGAGGGCTTCCATGATTGCTTCTATCTCAATTGAGTCAAAATCGACTCCTTCCTTGAATCGATGAAAGTGAGACAGAGCGGTCTTTTGTACTCTCGCGATACTTCAATGAGCCGTGTTACCGTGTGGTTGTGGTCCATCGTATTAAATCCTTTTCGAAACCCTGCTTGCTCGCATGGCTGTCCTTCGTTCAGTGTTCTGTCAATCCTGTTTAGGATGGCTCGAGTGAAAAGTTTGCAGACGGCAGGCAGTAAGCAGATTTGGTGATAGTTGCCGATATCGTGGAGGTCACCCTTTTTGAACAATAACAGGGTGTAGTTGACCTTCCAGTGAGTAAGGACCTTGCATTCAGACAGGTAAGGTGTGAAGAGCCGAGCCAGTGTGTTTACGAGGACTGGGGGAAGGTTCTTCAGGTGTTCTGGTCTTATCCTGTCCGGACCTGGTGCTGTTCGATTTCTCACCGACGAAATGGCATGTCGGATTTCGGAAGGGGAACCAGTGGTGCAACATATCCATTATCCTTTATTTCACATGACGGAAGGTGAACGGGGCTATCGAAGAGATCCGAGAAGATTCGTGAATGATTTGCTCCATTGCGTTTCTGGACGCTGTAACTGTTCTGTCTGGGCGCCGGAGTGCAATCATTTTGTCTTGTAATTGGCGAAGCTCCGATGAGCTTTGCGATTGTTTTTCCCATTCGATTCCGGTGGTGCGATTCCACGCTGGCGTATCAGCTCGAGTGTTTCTGGTGATAAACATCTCTAAGTGACTTTCGAACTCAGTTTTCATAGTGCTAACGTGAAGATGTTGAATGAGCCGACCGTATTCTTCGTCGAATTTATCGACGACGGCATATTCTCAACAGCCGACTAATGAATTGAATAAGTCTCAGTTTATGGCGGTTCTGGAACCTCGATTTTTGAATTTAGCAGCCTTTTCTCCTTTTCGCGAGAAATGGAATTTTGCACGAGGGAGACGATAGTCTTATTCCATGCAGAATTTTGGCACAACAGCAATATCGGTTAGGCAAAACCTTCTATTTACTATGATGTGGTCTATTTCGTTATGGTACTCTCCATTGGTAGACTCCCACGTCCAGCGTTGAGGGTGGGGCTTCTGGACTTGCGAGATTCCATGGATTGCCTTGGTCGCTATGATAAACTTAGGCAGCCGCTCACCCTGTTCGTTCCATTCTAATCCGTTGGTATCAATGTGACGTTGTTCAGACGTTCTTCTTGGTCCAGTCTTGGCGCTGAAATCTCCAATGATGACCTTGAAGAATGGCCTTCTCTGTAGAACTTCTCCAAGTCCATATAGAACGCTTCGACTTCTTCTTCGTCATAGTTTCATGTCGGCGCGTAAACGACAAAGATTGTCAAAGTCGGAATTGATCCACATCTTTTTAATCGTAAAATCCGATTCGAGTTGTAAGTTGTTCGAATGAATCGATGTTTATGGACAAAGTCGTGTTGACGAGAACGCCGACGCCGCCGACTCCTCTACTGACGTATGTTCCAAGGAATAGTTCTTCTCCGGTGTCATAGACGGCGTTCAAAGGCTAGCGTCTTCTCGTTTGGGCCAGGCCGATGACGTCGTTCTTTATCCTTCTTGCTTGCATGAACAAGTCTTCTATCCTGGACATTCGAGAAACGGTAGCGAGCATTCGCCTTTTCTGGAGAATGTTCGCTAAACTTGCTGCTTACAATTGTCGTATTTTGTAAAACATCGACTTGTTCTGCCACTAATTTTAGTAAAAGAAAGAGAATTTTAAATAGACCGAGCTGAAATTAGAGAATGTGAAAAGTAATGTGTTGTTATGTGAGCGTCATTATTCTCACTGTTCATACCAGTTTTCTTTAGAATAAACGAAAATGGTCGTCATATTCTGTGATTAAGAACAAAGGTGAGTATTCAATATACAAGTTGTTTAAGATTCTTCCAATGCGTTCGTTCACTGTTCTATGCTACTGAAATAAAAGGAATTCGTGCAGCACAGTGACTAGAAGTGCCATGAAACAACGAGTACTCTTCGGTTCGCTCCCGCGGCCTGAGCTCACCAAGCCTTCCATCCTTCCGACAAATTGGTGCTAGACTTACCTGCGAGGATAGCAGACTGAATTGATACTCCCGTAGGCCATTAATAGTTATTGTAAGCGCCAGATATGGATCTAGTCACCTCTAGGGTTGCTTGATGAACTAAAATACATGGCGCATCGCTCAGGGATTGACCAACACCGAATGTTTATCTTTTATCCTTTCATTGAAAATAAAAACGATTTGACTCCCAAGTCCAACTTTCTATTAACCTCGGCACTGATTGAATAATTCTTTCTATTTCTGTTCAGCAAACACGAGGTGCTATTTTATTTCTTTATTTACGTACAAGCTGACGTTTCGGCGGATTTCGCCTTACTCAGAGCCTGGAAGGGTCAAGTTGACAGCAATCCACTCGGCCAAACACCTCCGTAACCAAACAGAGGAAACGCTAAGCCAAGATTTCAATCACATTTACCATAGCCCTGCACACTCACCGCTTTCTATGGGTCTTCCAATGAGCATGTCGTGTGAAGACCGACCGCACAGAATTCACATAGAAGCGTGAATTTTTTTTTCACGAAACTACATTTATAATGTGAACATAAGATTGTGTTTGTAAAATCGATTCCTTAACATTCACATGTATGTTGCATCATCCGAAAAGTTCGTCTCCCCCTTCATCTTAAGAATCAGTTTCAGCGCGTTTATTTTCATTCTGCTCTTGAATGCGTTGTTGAAGATTTCGATTATGTTGCAGTTTATGTCAGTAGTCGGTAAATATGGAATAGTTAATCGGTCTAGGCCAGGAGCACCGACACTTCGCGTTACTACCAGACTCTTGCATTGTCCAGTTTCGACGACTTGATAAACTGGCGTTACGCGATAAAGACTGTCATTACTGCATCGCCCCTTGACAGGTAGATGTGTGTCGCCCAGATTGACCAGAATGTGCTCCGATTTTCCACCGGCAGCCGGGAATTTGGACACCTCGGGGTCGGCGGACAATGGAGCGTCCAGTTGTGTTTGTCCCAAATCCTCATCAGAAGAGCTCATAAGATCCGTCTTAAGCATGAAAATCAACCGGAATCCGGGAAGGCGAAATCCGCCGAAACGTCAGCTTGTACGTAAATAAAGAAATAAAATAGCACCACGTGTTTGCTGAACAGAAGTGGAAAGAAAGCGATTTAATTTATCCCCGTTTCCAGCATATTGTTACAAATNGAAGATTTCGATTATGTTGCAGTTTATGTCAGTAGTCGGTAAATATTGAATAGTTAATCGGTCTAGGCCAGGAGCACCGACACTTCGCGTTACTACCAGACTCTTGCATTGTCCAGTTTCGACGACTTGATAAACTGGCGTTACGCGATAAAGACTGTCATTACTGCATCGCACCTTGACAGGTAGATGTGTGTCGCCCAGATTGACCAGAATGTGCTCCGATTTTCCACCGGCAGCCGGGAATTTGGACACCTCGGGGTCGAAGGACAATGGAGCGTCCAGTTGTGTTTGTCCCAAATCCTCATCAGAAGAGTTCATAAGATCTGTCTTAAACATGAAAATCAACCGGAATCCGGGAAGGCGAAATCCGCCGGAACGTCAGCTTGTACGTAAATAAAGAAATAAAATAGCACCACGTGTTTGCTGAACAGAAGTGGAAAGAAACCAATTTCTCCCCGTTTCCAGCATATTGTTACAAATCTTATGATGAATTCATTGTGGCAAATTCACTTCTTCGCATTTCTGAATACTGTACGATAATGGTTGTAACAGAAAGGTGAAACGAATGAAGCAATCAGCGTTGAAATATCCCAGAACCACGCGCTACGCAGTGAGCTTAATTAGTAGAGGAGACTAAGAGTATATCTGACCTTACAATGAATTCCAGTGCACTACCGATGTATCAAGTCAGCACTTTTATCCTATCAGACAGGTCTGGTAGCAATTTGCCGATTCCGGAGGAATAAGGCTTGGCGAGCCATGGGCGCTCGGTATTGCATGCGCCTACGACCGCTACACTACACGTAGTTCAGTTTACGGTGAACAGCGGCAACGTAGATCATGCATATTTACTTCAATGTTGTCGGTGTCAATCAATTGACACAGTTTTGAATTAGCTTTCTTGAAAAGCTCTGAAAAGTGTGGTTTTTTTGCTCGAATGTACATTAACTAGTTAATCCTTTAATAATATTTCCTTTGTAACATAAAAATGATTTGAAATACAACCACGGCGGTGCTGAGATATAGAGGTAGAAAACTCCCTCGGATGCGGTGGTCGTAGTTCGATCTGGCCCGGGGTGCAAGTTTTGCGAACATCTCAGCATCGTTGTGGCTGTACTTCACACCATACTTTGCCGTGAGAAATTATAGCAGGCAACAAATAAAAGGTTAACATATATACGATTAATATGTATTCTTTCTTGATAAGCTTGCACGAGGTTGATAAATATATTTATTTTCGGCTAACGTTTCGACGTCTTCGTCTTCCTCAGAGCCGGTGATCCGAGTCGATGGTCCATGATTGTTGTTCGTCTCGACGTTGCAGCTTCGCCTTCGTGTCGAGCCAGATCTTCCTCAGTGAGCCATCTTCTCGAATGAGGCATCCTCACTCAGTGATGCCCTTTTATATACGATGCTGATGGTGGATATATAATGATAATGTCCGGTGGTAACAACCTGTATTTCTTCCCGACATACATCATTGTGGACATCGTGCAGAAGTCGGTGTTTTATCAGCTAGCGCAAAGCGTAGTAATAATATTTCGAAACCGACTTTCTCTAAACCTCGTTGTGACTAATCAATATGTATTCTTTCTTCACTGAGGAAGAGCTGGCTCGACATGAAGGCGAAGCTGCAACGTCGAGACGAACAACAATCATGGACCATCGACTCGGATCATCGGCTCTGAGGAAGACGAAGACGTCGAAACGTTAGCCGAAAAAATATATATTTATCAACCTCGTGCAAGCTTATCAAGAAAGAATACATAACATCCTCGTATCAACTTATGGAGAATTATGAGACTAAGATTGGTAAAAAGTTGACCGTGCATTCACAACGATAAAAGAACCTTCGTATTACTGCCACTGGTTAACGATATATATCATTTCGGTCCTTATAGAGATTACGATTCCACTCGTTGTATTAGAGTTGTCGTTGGAAGCAGCGTGGCGCAGTGGAAGCGTGCTGGGCCCATAACCCAGAGGTCGGTGGATCGAAACCACTCGCTGCTAACGTCTTTATATAGGCCTTTAAAGAAGAACGCATCCTTGCCAAGATGTTGAGAAGGCCCCATTTTTCGAGTTCGTGGGCAAACCGACCTCAGTATTAGAGCCGTTGATTATTGGTGTATACCATTTCGGTCCTTATAGCGATTTTTATTTTTGGTTTTAACTATCCACGAACCAACAAAGATCATTCATCAGTCGTCAAAAAGCTTATGCGATGTGTTGAGGAATCTTACAAGTGCAAACTTTTTAAAGATGAAATGGACTACCGTAGGATTTCTCGTAAAGATGCACATTTTGCAGGGTTGTCAAAAAACGTGGTCCACTGAAGTACAGTAAGCCATTCTGATGTTGTCTAATAACTGGCGATAGCTTTGCTTCTACTCATCTCTACCAAATCGTAACCACATACAGCCGCATTTAGATACTGTTTTGCAAAATAACCCACAAAAATAAACAAATTTTTCCCCTAAACAGATCCTCAAAAGAGCCTTTCATCAATTATTTCTAGCAACTGCAAACAAGTGAAGAATCCTTCTCTAATGCTGAAAAGTTTCAAAGATACAGGGAACAACTTGTGTTTAGAAAGCGTGGATACATTCTGTAGGGAATGTGAGAAGACGACTGTAATAATTCAAGATACAGCCGCTAAGTGTCCACAGTTCTTAAAAGTAAAATAAGATGAATTATGTGGATTGGGTGACAAGGGAAGTGATGACCATAGAGAAAGACAAATAATAAACAAGGAAAGCGACCAGTAACCTGATGGCGGCAGTGATCCTCGCGATGACGATCTCGACGACACTCTGGTCGACCCGTCGCTCGACATAGTGCGGAGTGTTGAAGATCTCCTTTAGGCGACTGAACGCAGTGTGCTGAAAGATATGAAACTGACGGCACGTCTCTCTTCAAGATCTCTCAATGTTTACCTGACTCTAACAGAAAAAATGTAAAGATCGAAATTTATTCACTGTTGCTTGCCCGGCTCATCAAGGTATATCGAAAATTTCAAACAGTGATCTAAAGACTACGAACAAAATGACTCTTTCAAAGCGAACTATCTTCCACCTATCACGAAATTGGTGTTGAAAGAAAACATGAACTTTCACTTGGTGGAAAGAGAAATAAATCAATATGGGTTTGAAGTTCTCACGCAGCACTGACTTTCAACGACTGCACTGTCGTTCACATTTCACACGCACTTAAGGTGTCAATTGGAAGGCATACCAATAAGCTGCCTTTTAAATAAGTTCTGCTACTCGAGTGGAAAAAGAAAGTGGACCTCTTGATGAATTACAAAGCAATCGTTCGATGTCTTTTAACAAGCTGGTTCCGACGACCCCTTCATTAATGGTGAACGATGGAACCGGCTGCCGTGTAAAGACGTACAGGGCAGTGGCTGGTCGTAATCGGAACGTCGTGACGTGTTTGATATACTAACCAACAATGAAAACCCATAGATCAAGAGAAATGGGTCCGGAATGAGGACGATGTCGGCTTGTGTACTGCAAGATCACCAGTGATAAAGCCGATCCATCCAGAAGATGCGAATGGACAGCATGAAGCAGCTACGTGTGCCGACGACATTCAGTCTACTTTCGTCCACTTTAAACAATGGACGACTACGTCGCGATGATCCTCCAACTTGTGCTCCTGTCAGAACTCTTCCGAATACTCTAACCATTACCCATCGACGTATGTTAGATTTGGACAGTAATCATTCTCACGAAAAGTATTATTAGGTTCAATCACAACGACCCTGAGACATTTCTAAAACTCCGGGCAACAGGTGTCTGTGGTAAGGATATCGAACACGTTGCCACTCTTTCCGGAGACTAACGCGTTCACCACCACGCCATGCGCGTCCTAGGTTTCGCCTTTCTCTCAGCTATTATCCGGTTGATTTTCAGTGGGACAAATAGGTACCACTTTTCGAACAACCGACCAAGAGCAAATTTACGTCTAGCTTTCTTGCCACTTGTAGTATCAAAGCGAGACGGATCTGCATCATGTTTTTTGCAGTGTTCCGCACATAGCGGGTAAAATCTGGGAATAATTTGATTTCCGACACAGCCTTTGTTACATTTAAAAGCAGAGTTACCGAAGGTGAAAGATTTCGATGCTTTGACACAAAAAAGTAACTTCTACAACGAAGACGTCTGTGGAATTGATATCTAGGTCCTTCAGCTAGTATGAAGAGTATTCAAACTGTGTTGATTCTCACAAATTTACAAGAGAAGAAACATTTGACATCCTAGTCATTGTTCTTGATACCAACATTACAAGAGCATAGACGTAAACGTGTCCCATTCCGCTACTTGTTTATCTGGAACGGTGACTCAGGGGCTGCGAAATAGCCTGACTCAAAGCAGGTTGGGACAAAGTTTAAGGAAGGTTTCGTGCTGCGAGAACAGTTTTGAAAATTCAAGCAGAATAGTGCCCTCTTTAGATCTTCGGTGGTCAGAAGAATGTCAAATGAGAATCTTTTGGACGTTTAGAAGAAAGCCCCATCATATAGCTCCTGCTCTCCCCTGACCTCACCGGACTCGTAATGCGCATGAATGACAACCGATGGATAGGAGCCCTTAGTGACTAGATTCCTCGGGATGTCAAACGTACTGCAGCAAGACCACCGACACGATGGTCAGAGTTTTTCACAAAGAGCCTTGAAGAAGGATATGATGCTTGACGAGTCCCTAGAGCGAGCAGGACCCACTGGTCTACTCTTGGAAAAATTGAAAAAAAAAAATTGAAGATTTACTGGCGCCCGCTCGAGTCACTCGACGATCAACGGGACTACAGGTGTTACAGGTATTTACGTACAAGCTGACGTTTCGGGGGATTTCGCCTTCTTCAGAGCCTGGAAAGGTCAAGTTAACCGCAGTCTACACGGCCAAACACCTCCATAACCAAACAGAGAGAATACTGAGCCAAAATTCCAATCACACTGAACACGGAGTCTTTGAGCACTCATCGCTTTCTACTGGGAG